CGAGGTGGGATCCTGTCAGGGCCGCCTCGCGTCTCAGGCGGGAAAAAAGCGCTCCCGTGAGGGAGCCGTGAGGCCTCTGCCTCGCCGGGGGGCTAGGGCCGGGGCGCGGTTCTCCCTCGGCTGGCGAAACCCTTCCTGGAGAGCTGCAGGCGCGGCCTTGTTAGGCGGCTTTGGCCCCTTTTTGGTGGATGACAAGCTGACCGTGAGCCAGCAGCGTGCCCTGGCTGCCAAGAAGGCCAATGGTCTCCTGGGGTGCATCAAGAGGAGTGTGGCCAGCAGGTCGAGGGAGGTTCTTCTCCACCTCTACTCTGCCCTGGTGAGGCCCCATCTGGAGTACTGTGTCCAGTGCTGGGCTCCCCAGTTCAAGAAAGATGAGGAGCTACTGGAGAGAGTCCAGCGGAGGGTTACGAGGATGATGAGGGGACTGGAGCATCTCTCCTATGAGGAGAGGCTGAGGGAGCTGGGCTTGTTCAGCCTGAAGAAGAGAAGGCTGAGAGTGGATCTTACAATTGCTTATAGATATCTGAAGGGTGGGTGTCAGGAGGATGGGGCCAGACTCTTTTCAGTGGTGCCCAGTGACAGGACAAGGGGCAATGGGCACAAACTGAAGCAGAGGAAGTTCCGTCTGAACATGAGGAAGAACTTCTTCACTCTGAGGGTGACAAAGCCCTGGCCCAGGCTGCCCAGGGAGGTTGTGGAGTCTCCTTCTCTGGAGATATTCAAGACCCGCCTGGACACAGTCCTGTGCAGCCTGCTGTAGGTGACCCTGCTTCTGCAGGGGGGTTGGACTAGATGACCCACAGAGGTCCCTTCCAACCCTGAACATTCTGTGATTCAGCCGAGTTTTGTGGCTGCTGTGTTGAAAACCCCTGTCGTGGCATGGCTGTCGCACCCCAACGCGCCCATCTCCCTGCATTTTGCCTCCCCAGGGGCCTGTCAGCAGCATACGAGGGAAACCGGTAGCAGCACCCTGAGGGACACAATGCGAAACCCGCTTCGCTAGTGCGGAGTCATTGTTAAACTGTAAATAAAGTTCTGTGCAAAATGTAGACCCGGTGCGACTGTGTTGGGCTGTTCGTAGAACAGACGTAACAAGGGGAGCTGAGGGAAAATACTGTTGGAAAAGACGTTTGCAAGGGACTGTGGGATGCTGTCGTTCCCTTGCACACTTCTTAATTTCTCTCCCGAATTCCACAGTATTCGGTTGCTGCCTGATGTGTAACTTTGAAATCTTTTCCTGAATCCCTTTCAGGTTCCAGAACAGCGATGGGGAGGTGAAGTACTTGCGTGATGCCGAAGAACTGATTCGGCCAGAGCGGAACACGTTGACCGTAAGCTTTGCAGATTTGGAGCAGTTCAATCAGCAGCTCTCTACCACTATTCAGGAGGAATTTTACAGGTAAAATATAGAGATTAGCTGAGAGCTGAGCAGTGCTGCAGTCTCAGGCCCACAGTGTCTTACCAGAGAGAAGTTTATCTCCTTTCTGTATCCTGAAAACACTTATATTTAATCTTTTTTTTTTTTTTTACTAGATCAAAACTTATTTCTAAATGGATACTCATTTTGCCTCTCTGGAAACTATTAGTTAAGTAGACAATTGCATTTGTTCTGGTAAAGAAGTAGATGGTCAGTACAGGAGTGCGGAGCAGACTCTAGAACTTCTTGCTCTGAAAATGTTTTATAGAGCCAGTGGCTCCTTTTGAGTATCTACTGCTTAATATGACGATAAAAGTGTCATAAAATGAGACTTTTAAAAGTCCATTAAAAAAGTCCAGACAGTAAAACAAATAGTATTATTAGGCAGTAGTCTCACATTTAGCATATTTAGATTCGTTTTTTGTGTTCTTACATAATGTGCCAGTAAAAAACAGAAGCTGGATATGTATGACACAAGCCTTTGATGTAGTCCAAAACAAAGAAGCCGTTTTGATAGCTTCTATAAAATTTGAACTTATTTTCTGTATTTCAGGGTTTACCCTTACCTCTGCCGAGCAGTAAAAACTTTTGCCAGGGACCATGGAAATGTTCCTTCAAACAAGGACTTTTATGTTGCATTCCAAGATCTACCTACCAGACACAAGTAAGATGAGTAATAATTCCAGAAACTTGTGCATTTTTACTACTGGAAAAAAGTGTCAAAGCGTACTGAAAATGTTTTGGTTACACAGCATAAAATACGCAGGTTACCAGTGCAACAGTTGTGAAGAAGTTTCCTCATCTTGTGCAGGATTTTTTCTGGAGCAGTTTATCATACTCAGATGCTTACATTCATCATACTCTGCAAGCAAAAGTAACACCTAATTTTAAAAAAATTATTTCGAATGTGTTGCTTTTGAAGCACCAGTGAAGTAACTTTTGCATTGGTTTGACCATTAGTTTTAATCTAAAAGTTTATGTAAAATCATAAAATGAGAACATATTCTAGTAACTTTGTTGCTTTTGTCTGTTACAACTGTTCTGTAGTGACAGGCTGAATGAAACTGTGTTGCATCGTAGTACTTGGGTAGTAGTACCCTGAGCCTAAACATGTCGACTCAGCTGAAGGATTTAATCCCTATGAATTTCTGTTTGCGACAGAATTCGGGAACTGACATCAGCAAAGATTGGCTCACTGATGCGTATCAGTGGACAGGTGGTACGTACCCACCCAGTCCATCCTGAGCTTGTAAGTGGAACCTTCCTGTGCCTCGACTGCCAGACGGTGATTAAAGATGTGGAACAGCAATTTAAATACACACAGCC